CTAGCTGGGTACTGTGTAAATTCTGCCTTCTAGTTCGCTATACGTGGTGTCTGGGCAGCGAAGAACTTATCGAATCTCTGGTGTATAAATAGATCGAAAGCTCTCGAGGTGCTGGCCAGTTAGAATAGTTGGGATTATTGTAAATGTTGTTAAATATATTGTAGTTGGTGAATTGGTTAATTTGTATGTCCTACTAGAAAGTTAGAGCTCTGCCGTCTAGTGGGAGTGTAAATTGTGTGTATAACTGTAAAATAGCGCACGTACCATAACTACTGACATGTACCATAACCACTGACATTGTGTAAAAATTACTAACAATTGCTGTTTTATGTTATATGTATAATACCATAACTGTTACTAACTGATCTGTGACTTTAAAACTGTATTATAACCACTTACTAACTGTACCATAACCACTGACTGTAAAGATGAGGTTACTAGAATGTGATATAGTTGGTTAGTCAAGAGTTGATTTATAGTACGGATGATTGTAGAGATGAATTTGTTGAAATGTTATGTGATCGGTTAGTTTATATGGATTAATAGCGTGGATAGTTGTATGGTTTGAATAATAGTTACATTGATAAGTGTATAGTCTTTGGTGGGTTTTTGATTTAATTTTGTGTGTGCAACGTCGTGATATTGTTGAGCATGTGAGGATCCTGTGTGTGTGTTTGGGCCTAGTGACTGCGCAATGTGTTGCTGGTGATAAGGAGATTGGTGTGACTGTTGAAACTGTGTGTCTATTTGTACAGCTTTTTGAATCAGATGCTCTGTTGAAATAATCTTCTGATTCACAAGGCTTTGTCTTGTATGTTTAAAAAAAAAAAAAAAGTAGGGAGTAGCCTGTACTGGTGGCTGCATGGCCTCCATGTAGCAGTCTTCACTTAAATTTAGTGCAGGGTGTACATGTGGCTGTAACTAGTAGGCTGGAATTCTATGATCAGTTTCTATATATTGACTGTTGGAAACTGATTGTTGAAAATTGCCTTGGTGAATTAAACTGTGTCATATGGGAAACAATGTAGCCATATGGTGGTCAGAACTAAGGACTTAATTACAACTGCTTTGGATATCCCCTCCCCCCCTGGCATCTGATTACCAACCCCCCAAACATCCTCCAGAGCCAGATTAGCCACGCCCTTATTCTTCTTCCCAAGCTAAGAACTGGTATAATCAGTATTTGCACTCTCCCTGCTCTACTGTCCCCGCCTACCCACATACCTATCTGTTCCTGTGTTTCAAACTCTTGTATTTCTGTACTACCCCTCCCCCTAATCAATGGTATCAGATGGTATATGGTCTTTATTTTAGTTACTGGATGGGCCCCTCCCAGCTTTGTCCAAAATGTCCCCTTTTTACTAAACTACAAACTGAAATGTTTAATTTACCTTAGAACTAAAGATTTAATCAAGCCTAGCTATCAGGGTGGACATTGATTAAAATAAGTAATAATAAAATAGGACATAATTAATTAAAGTCTATTTGTTTCATTTGACTTTAGGGAGGCACTCTAAGCCACCTACTGGCCATCTTCGGGAGTTACATTGATAATACATTGTTTATAACAGATAGATGTAGGATTGTTTACCCTATTTTAATATATTTATTGCTATAAGGTTTTATTTTATGTATAAATATATTAAAAGTTGAGTTTTCTTATTAGACCCATAAAGATTATTTTGATACAATTACCCTCTGGTGACACCTACTGGTAGGTTTTTGGTTTAACACTTTAAAAAAAACAAACGTTTTTTCATCCACCAAATGCTGACTAATAAAATTATCTTACTACTCCTAGACTGGAACCTATTATTGGGCAGCCTTGCCGAAGTCCCATATTAGACACCGCTTGAGTCAAATAGGTTGTATACTCCCTTTAATCCAGAGGCCCCTGAAAACTTCCGAATTATAGATTCAGCATTTGTCAGCCAGGCCCAAGGTGATAGTAAAAGGAAATTACAGAAATTAGAGGGATTTGTAGGGATGTCCATAATACAGCTAATGGAGATTGCAAATACAGTATATATGAATAGGGAGACGGAGGAAGAACGTAAAATGAGGAAAAAGGCAGATATGCTAGCGGTAGCTATCTTAAGTGTAGAAAGACAGGGAAGTGAATAGAGGAGACGAGAATAGGCTGAGCAAGGGACTTTAAGTAGGAATTAATGTGCGTATTGTAGAATGGAGGGACATTGGAAGAGTGAGTGTCCACAGAGAGAGCAGTATGAAGGTGATAGACAAGGAGAGAGAAGGGTACGAGGAGGTTATAGTGGTAGTTATAGAGTAAGAGGAAGTTTTAGAGGGAATGATGGGAATAGTAGAGGAAGTGTTCAAGGAGACAGATACTATCCACCCACGCAGAGACCTAGAGAAAGAGAGGATAGAGATTTTGTGGGTCTGGCTGACACTATCATGGAAGACTATTGATACCGACTGAGCTCCATCCCACTTGGTCGAGCTGAGCCTATGGTCGATGTAGCAATAGGGGGAAAGAGAAGTTCTTTCATGATCGACACAGGTGCTGAACATTCTGTGGTGACTAAGATGGTGGCTCCGCCTTCGGGGAAGACTATAAATGTGATAGGAGCTACTGGGAGAAGTGCAGCCAGACCGGTTCTTAAGAGTCGCACTTGTATTCTGGGAGGCCATGTGGTGAAGCATTAGTTCCTATATATGCCAGAGTGTCCGATTCAACTTTTAGGACGAGATCTATTATCGAAGCTTTAAGCTCAGATAACCTTTTACCTAATGGATTAACATCTCTGAAGTTTAAGGGATTACCAGGCATAATGGTGATATAGGTGCCAAGGGAAGAAGAATGACGCTTCTATTCCATAGTGACAAGTGTTAACCCTAAGAGTGATGAATCCTTACTTGACATTCCAGGAGTATGGGAAGAAAATAATCCTCCAGGACTTGCTCGTAATATCCCACCAATACATATTGAGTTAAAGCTCGGGGTGTATCCTGTTAGCCTTTGTATGTTGTTCTTTTATCTACCCCAACAGCTGTAAAGGTGGCGAAAGTGACTCCTTGGATTCATCATTCTAAGGTTAAACCAGCAGCAGACTCTTGGCAAACTACTCCAGATCCTGAGAATCCTTGCAGGACCCGGTTGAAGCGTACAACTTAGTCGGAGTGACGAGGGGATATCGAGACATTCTAATTAAAAGTCTACAAAGATCATCAAGTAGGTGTTTTGACGGCCATAATAAAGCCTGACCACCTGCCTACGTGTCATAGCCAGAGTATCTTGAAGGGATCTCTGTGAAGGAAAGTGAGGATCAGAAGAACAACATCCTTGCAGCCCTCACAATCGGGAAGCTGAGAGGCCATCGCATGGTCGAAGAAAAATTAGGATTTCAGGAATAATGTGTTTTATTGTGTCTTAGTATTTTTATGATTTTTCAGGAAGGTAGGAGTACAGACATACCGAATTGCGATAGTTGCATTAAGACTACAAAAATAGGTAACCAAATATCCCAAACTCTCATCTGGCACTCACAGTATGAATGTAAGGGATCTGTATCTAAATGTAGATATTTGGATATTGATTATAGTGTGTGCAAGCCAATATCAGGAGAGTCTAAATGTTTTGATCCACAATTCCAACCCTGTACAATTTGGTTGGTAATTCGGAATAGTAACTCCCAGGGGACATTAATAAATAGGACTGTGATAAGCACCATACATTCCGCGGGTATTCTACTATTTGATGCATGTAAGGCGATTTCGGGTAGTGGAAGACTTTGGAATGTATGTGGTAATCTTAAATGGGAACGAACTTATGGGTTTAATGATAAATACTTATGTCCCAGTAAAAGATCTACTGATCCTGATTGCCCAAATAGAGACTAACTTCTGCCCCTATTGGTCATGTGTAGGTTGGGCAACCTGGGAAAAACAGTGGATCAAGATATGATTATCCAAAGGTTGCCTACCACACCATACTGTAAAACTATGTGTGCAACCCCGTTCACATGACCATTTCCAATCTGCAGTACTTTATTGACAGGTTTGGAGGTCTGTTTGGGTTTCAAATATATGGCACAGGAGTAGATTCAGGAACAATAATATATGTAGGTCTTGAAACTGAGACAGTGGCAACTCAAACTCATCAGGTTTCTCATTCCTTCTATGAGGAGATGAGTATTGAGGATAAAATTCCCCATAATGTTAACAACCTATTTATTGATTTGGCTGAGGGTATTGCAGGTAGTCTTAATGTAACTAATTGCTATGTGTGTGGAGGTACTAATATGGGAGACCAGTGGCCATGGGAGGCAAAGGAAATATGGTACCCTGGCTCTGAGACATATGAACAACAGATACCTTTCCAGTCTGATCATCAAGTAAGTACTAGAAGTAAATTGGAATGGTGGTTAAAAACCTCCATTATAGGTCATGTTTGTATAGCCAGGAAAGGGACAATGTATAACACGTCTGTAGGTGAGCTAACTTGCTTGGGACAAAAAGCCTATAATGTTAATACTAAAAATACTACTTGGTGGTCAGCTTCAAATGTCTCGGAACCTACTAATCCGTTTTCCAATTACACTCATCTAGTTGGAAAGCCCCAGCAAATTTATACTGGATTTGTGGTAAGAAAACTTATTCGGAGTTACCACAAGATTGGGAAGGGGCATGTGTATTAGGTATGCCAAAGCCATCCTTCTTCTTGTTGCCAATTGAAACAGGAGAGACCTTGGGAGTTAAGGTTTACGATGTAAATCATAAAAGGGAGAGAGCATCCTTGAATACAGGTAGCTGGGAAGATAATGAGTGGCCCCCTCAACGTATTATTAATTATTATGGACCTGCTACTTGGGCAGAAGATGGCACTTATGGATATAGAACTCCGATTATATATGCTCAACCGCATTATTAGACTACAGGCGGTAGTTGAGATTATTACTAATGAGACAGCTCAAGTGCTTAATCTTCTAGCTAAGCAAAATACCAAGATGTGATCAGCCATATACCAGAATAGGCTAGCCCTTGATTACTTACTAGCAGTAGAAGGAGGTGTATGCGGAAAGTTTAATCTAAGTAACTGTTGTCTGCACATAGATGATGAAGGGCAGGCAGTGGCTGAACTTACAAGCCACATGGTTAAATTTGAGCATGTACCTACTCAGGTCTGGAATGGGTATAACCTAAGTAGTTGGTTTGGAAGTTGGTATGAGCAGCTTGGAGGAATTAAGACATTAGTAGGAGGAGTAGAATTTATTATTTTTTTTTGTGCCTCCTCCTGCCCTGTCTAATTCCACTAGTGGTAAGGTCCCTACATAGCATTATAGAGAGTACTATAGAGAGAAAGACAGCGGCTCATGTAATGGCTGTCTGGAAGATATGATCCCCTAGCCCGAAGAGAATATATTCAGGATGAAGAATGTTGAAGGAGTTTTTAAGATGCTTACAAGGTCTACTCTGGTTCAATGGCTACTTGAGAGATGTAGGTAAAACTGTGATTGGTGATGCATCTGGAATAATGTTATATCAGAGGCATCAAAAGGGGGGAATGTGATGGGATTCCAGCATGGTCAAAATTTAGTAGGCCAAAATCTCCATGTGGCATATGTGTATGTTGTGTCAGTTGGTTAGCTACATGTAGCTAGGATACTGTCATCAGTGTGCTGAGCATGTGCAGGAATGCAGGAACTGAAATTGCACTTATTTCCTTTGTCTTGGATGAGCCATGTGGTTTGACTAGATGTACAAGTCTATATTCTGCTCATTGATTGGTTAAAGGTGTATGTAGGTGTAGCTAATAATGGGAGGAGTTATAGTGCTATATAAGGAATGTACACTATGTGTTGGTCTCTCAGAATGTTGGAACAGGAGTTCATCTGAGACCCGATCGGTAATGTGAATAAAGGCCTGTTACTTCCTGAAGACCTGTGTCCAATATTTCTGTGTTTGGCTTCTGCATGCTTACACTGCAACAAGGGGAGGAGCTAACCCATGAGTAAATGCTGCCATGAATAATGGTCAGGAAACACTCTTTAACGTTAGGTCCCATAAGGATGATGAACCTATAGGCTCAAAGGGTTTACCATTAAGACTATGTAGCACTGTAGGCAAGTCACTGCAGGTATGAAGTTATGAATGGGAAGTCTAATTCTCATTGCTCCCTTAATAAATTGTTTTATAGAAGGGTCTAAGGCCCACCGATGGTAAGAAATAGCCCAAAACACTTTTAGATAACTAAGGCTTAAACCCTTATCCAGTCCATTTTGTAAAAGCTTTCCAAATCCTATAAAACACCTTTGACGTATTAGGTTTTCTTGCTTGAAGAATAGTCTCCACCACATTGTCTGATAATCCTCTAGCTCTTAAGACATTCTTCTCAATCTCCAAGGCATCAGATGGAAAATTGCTGGGTCTTCATGTAGAACTGGACTTGGGGACAATAGGTTCCTCTTTATTGGCAGTTCCCATGGTTCTCCTTGTGAGAGAATCAGGAGTATTGTAAACCAAGGTCTCCTTGCCCAGTGAGGTATAATAGCTATTACCTTCATCTTCTCCTTCCAGATCTTCTTGAGTGTTCTCTGGATTAACGGAAAAGGAGGGAACACATAGCCCAGCTGAAAGTTCCATCTTTGTTTTAGGGCATCTTGACCTTTTGCTCTCGGATTGTATCTTCTGCAATAGAACAAGGGAACCTGCTTGTTTCTGAAGCTTGCCATCAGATCTACGTCCAACATGTCCCATTGATTGCATATCTGATGAAACGTATTTGAACTCAGTTTCCATTCTACTGGATGTACATAGTGTCGGTTCAGATAATTCCTAACATTGTTCAGTTGACCTGGAAGATGGATAGCAGGCAGCCCTTCCAGATACTGGTGTGCCCAGAATATAATTGGCTTATTGTTTTTTTTTTTTTATTTCTTGCTCTTCGTATCCCCTTTGTGATTGATGTCGGCATGTTCTATACACCAAAACTGATTCATTAGGCTAAAGTTGTTTTGGTGACTATAGTGTCCCTTTAAAAGGGCAATTGATTCTTGATTCACAATGTCTAAAATTCTATTAAAACCTAGTAAATTATCAGGACTCTGTTTACTTCTAAGTTACCCTATCCAGCATTACAACGCGTGTGCATCCATTTTCTAGAAAATGTAGAAGATAAATAATGTAAAGCTTTGTGGCAAGTGCCTAATCTTAAAGTACCCACTAAGTGTAACTTGTTATAAACAGTATTGTAAATAATCTACACTCATATGAATCTAGAATCCATCACATCAGAATTTTGAACACGTAATTTTGATGGTGGTGAGTTTAGTGGGTACAAGTCCTTGCTATTAAGCTAACCTTGAAGAGACACTTTAGGAACCACATTATAGGGCATATATGCTGCTCCTGTTTAGGCAATGACCATGTCTGCTAGTTGCTGTCAGCAGACAGCACGAGGAACTTCTGACATATATGGCATAAAGTCTTATGCTACTTGAGAGGTCTTAATTTCTACTCGACAGTTACATTTTCACTTGCCAATGACTAGTGGGAATTTGAGAGAGAGAGAGAGAGTGTGTGTGTGTGTGTGTGTGTAATGTATATCAAGGGTAGGCAATCTTCAAAATCACTTCATAGATATGAAGCTGCTATGGTGCGTGGAGGTCCCTGGTTCTGGCTTTCCTTTAGGGGTTAAACTGTTCACAAATGATTTAATCCCTAAAGTCTGTGTTCCTGTTCTGGATTGCTGTGCCCCCCTGTAATTCCTCTTTCTAAAATTCTTCATAACTGAGTGCTCGGGCAGCATCATCAGAGGAACTTTAATAAGCTTACAGCTCTCAGCTGATGCTCTAAGCCAATCACTAGCTTCCCATTAATAAAAATGTATTGAATAAAATAAGTACCTTAGTTTATGAAGAATTTCAGAAAGTGGAAGGATATAGTGCTGAAACGCAGACTAAAGATTAAACCATTCGGGAATGGGCTAACCTCTAAAGGTAAGTTGGCACCAGGGACCTCCTAGCACCATAACAACTTAATTTCAAGGAACTTGTTAAGTTGTTTAGAGTATACACACTGCTGTTTATGAGTAACAGCAATGTTAGATTTCCCAATGCATATATATACCAGCAATAGTCAGAGAGACACAAATAGATCCAGTAGTTGATGTTGAGGGTTAGCATGCAAAGTGGTCTGAAGTTGCGTGCATCAAATGCTTCTCTTAGAGAAAGAAGCATTGGATTAGAAGCTAGCAGTGACTGCTTTGCTTGAGACAAGATTCTGACCTGGCACTGGATTTCCGCTTATTTAATCAAAAGATTGGTCTATACTTTTAGATATTGTTGACAAGTAACATCCAGATGAATTGATTCCAGTAGCAGATCACCATATTTTTTTACGGGATACTGTAGTGCCAGGAATACAAAGCTGTATTGGGGAAACAGACATTTGGGGAAACTAAGACACTAGGGACACAGATATGGGAACACAGACACTGGGATACTAGGGGACTCTTGGAGACATGGGAACACTGAGACACTAGGGACACTGGCTGGGAGGCTTGGGGACACTGGGAGACATGAGGGAACTTGTGGGCATAGACATGTGTCCCCAAGTGTCTCCGTGTCCCCACGTCTCCCAGTGTCTGTATTCCCATATCTTTGTGTCCCTAGTGTCTTAGTTTCCCCAAATGTCTGTGTCCCCATGTCCCCCTGTGTCTCAGTGTCCCCATGTGTCCCCTAGTGTCTCAGTGTCCCCATGTGTCCCTTTCCCCCCATCATAGGCGTGTGCGGCAACGCTCAGATCTCGCGAGAGTGAACTCTAGCCCCGCAGGCTAGAGTTCACTCTCCACTGGACCACCAGTGATGGCACATGGCAGCAAGGACCTCCCCTCCCTGCAAAAGGTAAGAAGGGAGGGGGGATATTTACTAATCTGCCCCCACCTCCACCCCCACAATCCCTCGAAACATACAGCACCCTCACAAACACACACAAAGCATCCTTACAAACAAACAGCACCTTCACACACAGCATACTAACAGCACCCTCCCAAACACACACACACAGCACCTTCACACTCAGCACACAAACAGCACCCACATGACACAAACAGAACCCTCACACACAGCACCCTTACACAGCACACTATCAGGACCCTAACAAACACCCTCACACAAACACAGCACACTACCAGCACCCTCACACACAAACAGCACACTAACAGCACCCTCACAAACACATCACACTGACAGCACCCTCACACACACACACAGCAGTGTATGTATGTGTGTATGTATATTTATATATACATACCCCCATCCTTCACTTCCCTGAGCTGTAGTCTGTCTCTGCAGACTGGGAGCTGCTGTTTGGACTCTCTGTGCCGTGTAGCTGATCCCCCACGGATCAGTGAGTAGAGAGGCAGGGAGATGCTGTTACTGTCTATCCCTGCCTCTCTCCATACACAGTGACCCCTACTGGCCGGTGCTGGTATTGCAGAGTAATCTCCGTTTATACAGAGAAAAATATTTACATTTGTATTACCGGTATTACTGCAATACCGTCACGGCCAGGCAGCCTCAAATATCGGCTGTGCCTTAAAATACCAGTCAGGTCGCAAACCTAAGAGTAGTGTGTGTAAAAAAAAATATAGTTTTTTTTTTTTTTTTAAATGGACCTATTCCATGGGCCTGGGCCTGGAGCTGCAGCTCCATCAGCCCCTATGTTAATCCGGCCCTGGGAGCACCCACTTGGTTAAAAAAGCACCCGGATCAGAAGTTGCTAGCTTGATTTAGGTGGAAGCCAAAGTTTCAGCGGGTCGCAGCTTGCCTCTGATCTGGCTCAGTGGCGTAGCTAGAGCTTTTGCCGCCCGGGGCTGTCCTTGAGTTTGCTGCCCCTATCTCGTCATGTCCAGTGCAGTCGCGAACGTCTGTGGCTGCACCAGACATACCTCTTTTGTACTCAATGCCTCTAGT